TATGCAAAATTTTTTCAAATAATATACATTTTAAAATTTATACAAGTTCCCGTACTACACACACACACTCACACACGCACACATACACGCACACATACACAAACACACACATATACATACGCATACATACAAACACACACACATACACACACACGCGCACACGTACACACACACACACACACGCATACACATACACACAAACGCACACACACAAACACACTTCCTTGGGTCCGTTCTACAGCTATGAATTTGGCAACTAAGAGTGGGAGGTTGATGAGAATTTCGAAGAAGTCTTCATTTCATTTGTATACAATTATGACGTAAGTTCACGTTATACCGCAGTCATTAGAGCCAATACTACGCTAGAAAACTAGAAAATCGCGTCTTGCCTATACACTGCTATTAAAGACGCTAACTAGTTTTTCGATAAAATTATCATTGCTCGCAAAACGGGAACCACGGAAGCTGGAAGGCTGAAATTTTGTGGGCATGTCATCTCCTGCCCAAATTTGCGACCCAGAAAATTTAAATTCAGCTTTCTACTGTCTTTTCACTGTTTACATAGTGAAAAAAAAAAAATCAGGATCTGCAATTTCTTTGAAAATTTGAAAAGCTTTTGCTCCGAGAAAATGAGTCAAACTTACCCTCTGTCATCGAAGGCTGATAAGCAACGTAATACTTCTCGAATCTGTGCGCTAAGTGCTTTATCCTGGCCATTTATGCTTTCCGCTAACAAGATTTGCAGGAATTCTGTCAGTTGTCGGGCATCGTTTTTTCCACTGCAAAAACAAAAACAATATGCACAAATCTGTGACTTCTTTAAACGTTAAACAAAATCATGCGTACTGTATGAAAAACGCGAAAAATCGAAATTGGATGCGTAAGATTTTGTCAGAAGACTAAGTAATACTTTTAAAAACAAACAATCGTGATTGCCACACTAAAAATGCTAAGATTGCCCGGACAAAGATGATGGTATCATAATTTGCGGCCGTTTAAAAGGCCAAATCGTAATCCTAAGAACGCAATCTTAAGATCTTAATCGTAATCTTAAGAACAAGTGAACGGTCCAAAGCAAACACAATGTGGAGCAGCCGAAGCCCGAAAATCTAAACCTATAGTGAGATTAAACTAATAAAGTGAATCTATAATATAACGGAAGAGACAGTAAGGCGATTCATGTGGCATAAAACCGTATGGCATGTTGAAAAGTCATATAAAAAAGAATAAATATCGAATTTGATCTGCCTGTGTTTCATCCCTTAGTTGTAAACATACACACAGAATCAGGTGAGGCTAGAGGCGGGAATCATCAGTGCAGCTCCCTAACCATGTATCTCATGTTAACGATGCTACTGCAATTAAACCACAACAAACACAAGTACAAATGACTAGTTCTATCCCTCCTTTAATAGTAAGTTTAGCATAACAATAGCAGAAATTATTACAAAAACAAAACGAAATTTTG